ATGTATGTTGGTTTTTTGACAACTTTTAAAGCTGTCCATTTCTTTGAATTGCAAGGTAACAGACATGCGCATCGGCCAAGTGAGATTTGAAAGGGTAGAGGGCGCTGTTTTGAACACCAACATTTTTTAAGTGGCTGATGTTTCCACAGTACTAAAGTCATCTTATTAGAAAACAAATGCAAGATATGTGGATTTGAGCTGACGCTTGTACTTCGTCCATTTCTTTGAATTAGAACGGACATGCGCATTGGCCAAGTAAGATTTGAAAAGGCAGAGGGCGCTGCTTTGAACACCAACATTTTTTAGGGGCTGATATTTCCACAATACTAAGTTCATCTTAATAGAAAACAAATGCAAGTTATAGATTGGAGCTGGCGCTTGTACTTCGTTTCTTAATATTCAGGCTGATATGAGGACTAAAAGCAGTTGAGATTGAAGACGACTATCGGAAACTGCAATTAAATGGGAACGATCACAAGTAGACAGGGAAAGGAAGCGGAAAAGGTAGAAATTACCGGCGACGCCACGGAAAAAACAAATTAGACTTTATGTAAACTTTCAACACATCTCTCTCTGACTGAGTTGGAGACATGACAAAGAATTATTTAGAAACCCTGGTCTGCTCTCAGCCTACACCAAAGATAAAGTAATGCGTGACAGAAAGTGTCGTGGTACGTATACTCGAAATTTGATACCTCTTAGCGAGGAGCTCACATGTAAAACAAACCAATAGGAAATCTCGCGTGGCTTATCCTGCACTTAGCTTACCCTCGTATGACATGCGCATGCGCGTCCACCAACTGTATATGCATATCCTGCATTTTTTGTTTTTGTTTGTGTCTACTTAACTCATCAGCCTTAATGACAATTCTACGTGCAGCAAAATACACATTACACAGTACATGAACACCGGGCATTGTCTATTCATAAACGAAAAGATAAATGCAGTTCTCATTTTGTCGTTCTGGCTTCCGCAGTATATTTCCCACCACATGTATTACGAAAATATATATTTATCATCACATTTTGATCAAAATATTGAACGCCTCGTTCCGTTGTCTTCTCGAAATGCACCACGCTGACGCAAGCTCCGCAAATGCCCACTGTGTGAGGGCCCCGAGGGTCAGGCCCTGGCCATGCCCCACACTGTGTCTCACAGTATTTGTCACGGTGTGGGGTATTGGCTTCACGCAGTTATGCTTTGTTGTGTGTGGTATTCGGTACCCGTGTCTAACTGACCCCTGCTTCGATAAAAGAGTTTGGTAAAGACTATTGAAAACATGGCCATATTTGGCAGAGGCTGACCAACTATACAGACAAAGCGTGTGACAATCATATCTGAGGGCACAACAACAGCAAGAAAACAAATAAAAACAACGTTCTTAACAACGTGATCAACAGCAGCAGCTTAACAACGGGATAAACATGAAAAATTTCAAAGTCAACGACATATTTTACCTTTTCAATCCATCATCTTAAAAAACAAAACCTGGACTGGGGACCAGTCTAATCCCTTTTTATCATAAAAACTAATACCAACATATAAACACCACTTCATGTTGATGTCACTCTCACAAGGAGTTTTCAAATTTGTTTTCAGGAAACAGTACATTTTTCTCAAAGTGTCGACTGGGCGGCCAGTCTAATTCGTCCCCAGCTGGATAGGTTCTGCGCCAAGACCCACCGGATCGCTATAATTATTATTTTGACGTTAGCCTACATGCCCCGTAATGCTATAGAGGTCTGTGCACTTTCGTCTGTTTCGGGATTTGCATGTTCATATATTGCACTGGTTTCTCTTCTTTTTTTTCTTTAAGGGGTCAAAATGGAAAATCTGATCTTTGTCATAAATCCATTTAAACGATTTCGGGATTGAACTGCCCAAAAGGCTAACAACAGGATTAATCAGAGGGGGGGGGGGGGGACCATATAGGGCAAAGTACGAGCCAACAAACAGAATCAACTTTGAAACTAGAAATGTGCGGGCAGTCTTCGTTTTACACGATCGAACGATGCTTCACAGTTTTTTTCTTCACCACTTTCATTTAACCAGAAGGTATTTGTATCAAACACAATCTTCATGTTTGGGTTCCAAGTTTCAAGACTACAAGTGTGGTCAAAGAACCAAGCATTTTTTTTCTAGTTATTTGAAAATAGTAGCACTTTTGGCACGACGATTTTTATAACAAGGCCACACAGATCAAATTTCATATCTGGTATAATTGGTATAGATTAAAAGGCGCATAAGCTGTACAATTATCTTCCCTATCTGTTAAGCAAGAAATAGTTATCTTTGTTTGTCAAAGGAGCGCTGTGGTCCAATGGTTACGTTGTTCGACTCACGTACCCTGGTGTGCGGGTTCGAACCCTGACGGGGAACATGGTGCTTGTGTTCTTGGGCAAGACACTTTACTACAATTGCCTCTCTCCACCCAGGAGTATAAATGGGTATCTGTGAAGGTAGAGACTACTAGAATGCACTGATCTCGAGCTGCTGCAACAACTGGTCTCATTCTTGATGAACAGGGGTAATAATTTAGTAAGTTATTAAGTATTAGTAGTACAATAAAAAAAAAACCCACTGATTATACGAAATATTGGTAAAAATGTTCGAACTACGTGATTTGTATCGAAAACTGCTCATCCGCACAGCTCTACGAAAACTGTCGCGGTTTGCAAAAACAAATAAATAATAATAATAAATAGGTTTAAACAAAGCAACTTTGAGGTTCACTTGCTCGCCACAACTAATATTTCCGAGTGATATGCAAGCAGGTCCTGTTTCATGTACCGGTGATATGACTGAGAGCCGCCGCGGCTAGCCCGGGGCGATACCGGGACCCGCTCGCCGGCCGTACGCCCCTTTCTCTTTTGTTTTACTGGCGGCGCGGTATCAACAAAAACCGGGCCAGACCTGGGTGAATTGTCCTTCGTTTAACCTTTTTGCACACCCTTGAAATTGCTTTTCCCCTGGATCACTCGGGTATTCGTCATGCCGAGAAATATGAGCTTCTTCGGGGACTAGGAAGCTTTACCGCAACGTTGACCGTGCTTAAGTTTTGTTGAGGCTTTAAAGCTGCATTTTCGTTTTGGGCTTCCGCTTCATATTTCTCATGCAAATACATTACGCTGGGGAAAAATATCGCGTACTATTTCTCTTTAATTTGATACCCTCTTAGTTTGGGGATGCATGTACAGTGTCTGCATAAACGTAAAAATGATTTTAAACCTCATTTTGTTCGATCAACTGACAATTTCATTAATGTTTTCGACTCAGCAAAAAAAGTATTTAAAATCATAAACTGGAAGTGTTCTATCTATAATTGAAACTGATGAAAAGTACAGTTGCAAAAATTTAGTTAATGGAGTACTTGTGCTGGTATTATTTTGTTCAATAGTATAATTAATGAAATTACCGACAGGACTAGTTAACCCTGTAACAATTGCACTTATGTTCCTGTGTTTCATAGCTGTTGAGTATTCTGTACACTTGAGAAGTACATGTACATGTACAGTACATGTATATCACAATATGTTGCGTGTTACAGGTATGCAGGAACATTGGTAATTTCCCGGAGACAGACCTATCGATTTAGTGAGAAAAACCTTTCTCGAAGTGAAGTTGGGGATGTTACCAAATACTCTGTGAACATTGTCTGCTTAAAATGGTATCGTTCGACAGAAAACAACCATAGAAGGAGGTTTTCAAAAAGTGTGCTAGCTAGCGGGCACACTTTCTTAAAAAAACACCTTTATAACCCACGAGCCCATACTCTGTACTTGAGTTCTTTAAAAAAAAAGTGTCTTTAAAATTTAACCAACGTTCTTAAAACTCGTGTCTTCTCACAAACAACATCCAGTAAGTGTTGATTCCTGTGTAACGCCTCAGGACGAACGATATGGCTCAGGTATAAGTAAACACCCCGACGCTCGGGGAGTTCAAAACACCGCAGCAACGCGTACACGACGACGCCCGTTATATCCTGAACGCCAAGGGGAGCCGTGTTTCATATTTTTGTTGAAAGTGGGCGAGAAGCTGACAGGTGACTTTGTTGTTTTCTCGACGCCAGGTGTCAGGGGGCTGGTTTTCTAGCCGGTAGACCGAGTAGGGATCAAAGCAGCCCGGACGGTGGGGGATGCGTGTCTGGTGTCGACGCTGAGATAACACGGTGAGGAAACCCGTGTTGTTTGTCGTATAGGGAGGGAACGTTGACGGGACGGTGATGGCAATGTTCGCTGTTATTTGTCGGTGCGGTAGGTATTTCCGACATATTGTGTGGGAGTGGTACGGTGTCCGACAGAGACATGATTTTATAGTCACCTGTCTTTGTTGTCAAATAAAGATGACAATGTCAGAGATGAATACGGTCCTCACTCAAAAATGCGCATTTTGCTTTTACAACTTTTCAAATGGATCGCTCATTTAGATTTAGATAGATTAGAATATGTTGCGGTGAAGGTACATGTAAATTGCACTTTACTGTGAGACAGTTTGCGCCATCAAATAGGGACCTCGTGTGGCCTACAAAGCTGTCCCACAATGCAGCTGCTGCGTAACATGCATCGTTACTGTGTGTTTCCGTTCTGGTGACTACAAGTGAATTCTCCGCTAATGTTTCCTATATCGTCGACAACCACAACTAAAAACATTGGTTAATATGGTTACTGGTTGAGGTACGAGTTTGATTGACTGGTACCCAAGGGCACTGGTGACGTCTGTTTCCGTTGAACTCTTATTTGAGGGATTATGTTAACCCGAGTCATCATATCCGTGTTCGCACGACCCGTACGCAAGAAATGCACGTATACATTGCTTGAGAAATGTGAATTATAGACAACAATGCATTGCGACGCATGCGTTTCCTTCACATGTATTTGTGTGTGTGAAAACAATGGAAGCGGGGAAAGATTTGAAAGTGTACAATCCTGCCTCTTGGTGGCAGCAGACAAATTCGTCGAAATTTGGCGCGAAATATTATGGGAAAAAAAGGTCAGCTTACCTGCACGCGCGCCTCGGTGAGGTCACAGCGTAAGGCCAGCTGCTCCCGGCAGTAGACGTCTGGGTAGTGCGTCTTCTGGAAGACCCGCTCCATCTCTTCCAGCTGGAAGCTGGTGAAGGTGGTCCGGTTCCGTCGCTTCTTCCTCTTGGAGGCGTCGTCCCCCTTGGAGCCCTCGCCGTCTTTGCCGTCGCCGTCCCCCTTGCCGCCGTTGTTGTTGTTCTCCTCGGAGGCCTTGTCCCGGGGGCTGCCGGCCGTGTTGTCGTGGTGCGGGTCAGTCTTGCCCCCGCCACCGCCGGTCAGCCCGACCCCGGAGGGGTTGGGGTTGTCCGAGTCCTTGACGGGATCGCCCATGGGTGACGTCAGTGGGGTCATGTCTTTGTTGTCTGAAAGACAGAGAGATCAAAAATGTCATATGTTAAATGTTGCCTTTTTTGGACATAATTTTGCAGTACAGACACTGTATCTTTGTGTTGACAGAAGGGCTGTAAGACAAGTTGGACACTCAACATTAAATGTAGACATTCATCTCAATGTTCTGTACATAAAGATCCACGCGTAGGTGCCACCGTTTATCATTTGTTTCCTTATCATACCATATAGTAATGCTTGTTAGCAAACACAGACAAAGCTGAGTTTTATTAGTTTTCAAGACGCATGTCAGTTATTTAACAATAGGTCAAAGGAACGAGGCCCCAAATTAAAAAAATCAAAAATAAATATGGTTGGTTGGATAGCTGTAATAATCAGGCCTACAACTGGGAAGTCGCAAAAAAAGGGGAAATTCAAATCTTTCCAAGACTTTGCACAGTGAGGCTATTTTTAATGGTACACATGGGAAGTACGAAAAGAGGAAATCAGCTGATCTGAGGAAAAGTTACATGCCTGAATAACACTTCATGACGTCTGCCAGTTATAATTATGTATCTATTTCATTTCATTTTTTGTTATAAAGAGGCCTGATAACTTTTTGTTTTCGATAGAAGTGTCATCCAACAGTCGTCGAGACTCGAAATGTAACCGTTTAACTATCCTTGAAATTGTATTTAAACATGACACTTAAAACGTGTGCGTAATACAAGTACAAACAAGCCATTTTAAAATTGCAACCTTAGCTTAAGCATAATTGTATGTGATCCCTTCCCTCCCCCCCCCCCCAAGTCAATACCTATTCTCCTGACTTTGTAGTACATGTGTACACACGTATGCATGTCAGTGTCACAGACGATGAACCGCTTGCATGTCAGTTATAACCGGATACGTCAGGATACACGATCCGGTTATGTGGCGTTTAGAACACAAGCCGTCTGCTCGTTTAGGCCTCATGAAGTTACATCCTTTAGTTGTTTTAATTCATAAAACATTTCAGAGCCAGCCTAGCGTGGCATGCGGAGACGTGTAGGAAATCCTTGCAATTAATGGGGCTTAGCCAGCCAGCCCAAAGGAACGTGCTGCAGCAGCCGATTGAGGAAGTTTAAGTGGGAGGAAACGTATGGAGGTTGACAGAGGATGGTACTAAGATTTGTGAGTGTTTCTTTGAATTATGTGGCGGGAGAAATTAAGGGTTCTTCAAAAGCGCCTTAGGCAAAGTAGCTCGCAAGCCTGAAGAATACTAAAGATATAGATGACAATTAAGACATTGCAGTTTTAGAGTTGGGAGGAAAAATGTTGAAAAAAAAACCTAGGCCGTAGAGGCCACTGCTCGAACCTGATCTTCTGAGGTACGGAGTGATGTTTTGGTTGCCGAGTTTTTGAAAGTTTTAGCATAGTTATGATGACAATGATAATGGTGTTGATGGTGATGACGATTGTTATGATGGGTTTTGAGGGTCATAATGATGTTGATGGTGATGACGATTGTTAGGATGGGTTGTGAGGGTCATAATGGTGTTGATGGTGATGACGACTGTTACGAGGGGTTTTGAGGCTAATAATGATGATGTTGATGGTGATGACGATTGTTAATATGGTTTTGAGGGTCATTATGATGTTCATGGTGATGACGATTGTTACGAGGGGTTTTGAGGGTCATAATGATGTTGCTGGTGATGACAATTGATAGGATGGGTTTTGAGGGTCATCATGATGTTGATGGTGATGACGATTGATATGATGGGTTTTAAGGGTCAGTATGATGTTGATGGTGATGACGATTGTTAGGATGGGTGTTGAGGGTCATTATGGTGTTAATGGTGAAGACGATTGTTATGATGGGTTTTGTGGGTCATTATGATGTTGATGGTGATGACAATTGATAGGATGGGTTTTGAGGGTCATAATGATATTGATGGTGATAACGATTGATAGGATGGGTTTTGAGGGTCATCATGATGTTGATGGTGATGACGATTGTTACGATGGTTTGAGGGTAATGATACTTATAATGGTGATGACAAGTATCTTGGTTGTCATAGTGTTGGAAATAACAGAGTTCAAAGGTTACGATGCTTATTAGTATTACATTGATGGAAAATGTGGCGTGTCTGTAGTATTGTGAAAGTGGTATGGTGGTGAGAGGCGTATACCTTAAGAGTGAAATGAGGCTTCCTGAAAATATAAACTCTGAATTGGAAATGTTTTTCAAAACACTGGGGGAGGGGGGGGGGTTCGTTGGTGGGAGGGGCTGAGGGAGGGGGAAGTGAGGGACGGGAGATGGGTGGAGAGGTAAAACCGACCCCCTAGTGTGGTAATGATGCTACTAGTAGATTGCGTAACGACGATGATAGTGCTATTGCAATTTGCATATGGTTTTGACAGTCACAGTCACGTGATCATTCTCATGTGATATTAATAATAACAGTGATGTCGGCATTCATAACCATACACAGAGTCATGAAAAATGACCTTTTTTTTGTTGAAATTGGAAATGTGATTATACCGATACTTTCTCGTCTTGTATGCTAGACGACCAATTTAAAAAAAGCAATTTGATCAAAATAGCTTTTCTATGAATAACTCGCACGTGTACTTAATAACCCAAGGGGCATGCTGGAGCGCTGAATTCGCCTACTCACTTCCTAATGCTAAACCGACATCCCATAATAAAATGTAAACATGTTATCCCCGCAACGAAAATACACGCAAACAAGAAAGTAACATTTCGTAGCCTGGAGGACAGCTTGTAAAAGAAAAAGTGGCACGCGGTATCGTGTGGAGAACACAGAGACCGCGACCAGTCCACAAACACCGGAGCTCACGTATAATCGGGGGCCGTGATGGCGACGCTCCCTCCCTGGGGCAGGCTGTACTTTCTGCCCGGTCGCATCTCGGACGAGACACGGACGCTGAGATGCCCCCTGGCAAAAGAAAATGGTCTCTTGGCAGATACCCTCTTCTTTTTTCCCCCTTCCTTGACCCCATGATTGCAAGTGGTGACCAGGGGTGCAAGGTCTATCCCTAGGGGTGTATAAGGTCGACCCCATGGGGGTCGGAGACATCGTGGGACCGCAGCCAGATGAAAGAACTGCTAGTTGTTTTCGAGTCAAAGTGCAATGGATTCTTAAGTGTTATATTCTCCAAGCCCCGAGACTATTACATGTAACATCTAAATCCACTTCGACAAAGTAGACATTGTAGAACCATGGAGGAAGAAGAACACAATTCCTCCATGGTAGAACCAGGAGTGGTTAGCCACGGTCGCCCTGGGAAAACTGCATTCGTGACTACCAAAGCAAAGAAATGCATTGAGTACTTGCGACAGATTACACAATTTGCAAGGAGTTCTTTCATTCATCGATGGCAAATCCAAACTGTGAATGAAACTTAACTATAATAACGAAACCCTCTTTATAATAAAGATGTGGAATGCGATTTGAAGTTCACCACAGACGCTGCGGCTCACTTAATCAAAAATATAAGATCAAAATTTGCATCGCCATTCGGGGTGATGTAAATTCAATATTGGGTTTTTGCCCTTTAACGAAATATTATTTTTGTTATAAACACTGTATACTCAGCGTTGACTGAGTTATTGTGAGAAACAATTCAAAACTACTCGGGCGTATTACATGTATAATATAGAAAATCACTCATTATCACATTAAATGGATTTCATGTGTGCATGTTGCTTAAAAGAGCCTATCGGTCGTGTAACCCTTTCACAAATATCAAATTTGTTCAGCATTTTTTTTTCAAGGTACCATGTTCTAAGGATTTGATCTGCTTAAATGCCCTCTCCCTTAACACAGTTTGAAACCACCCCTATTTAGCAGCGATTAGTAACAAGCATTCTCATTCATATCTTAAGTCCTTAATGCTACACAGCTTCTGTCTACACTCAAGTGAGTAGGAACAGGATGCAGATAGTATCTCACTACCGATGCCTATCACTGACTGTGATCTTTTGACGTCTAGACATTTCTTCAGGTAATCTACATTATGTAGCTCATGTACATTTTTGCTTGTTCTTTTTTCGAGCGTAGCCTATGCAGCTTTTGTCTTTGTGTCGTGGCCCGTGAATTACGCTGAGAGGCGAGCCACGGCTTTAAGTCAACACGGTGACATCATCAGATGTCCCATCAGGCAAGACAAACGACCTGCTCGGAGCCGTTCGAGACCCCGGCCCGCCCCTCTGCAAACATTCATAAACTTAATCCGACGTTGTGGGATGAATTCTCTATGCATCATAGTGGAGGTGCATTAAAACCGAGCGTTGAATGACAGAGATGGTATAAAAGAATCTTTTAAACATCATTAATGAATAAAGGCCAATTTCAACAACTGTGGTATCCATAATGTTGAATGACAAAGATGTTATAAGAGAATCTTTTTAGATAAACAAAGGTCAATAGCAGAAGTATAAATTCGGACATATTAATGGTCAAAACAACTGGAGGATATACAGAATGTAACAGCTTAAAGTAAAAAAAGTTTCATTGATAAAATGACGATGACGAATAGCAATTATGATGTCACAAACATAATGATACATCAAAAATGTATCATCCACAACGTTGATAACGACTTACAACCATGACGAATACAACGTCAAAGGCAACAGCAATAAAAGTGACCACGACAGATGCGAATGACGATGTCAAAAACCGCTGAATACAACCAAAAAAGATAACAACAACATGACGACGACATTTTGTGCCATGGAAGGACAATACTTGCGCTGTCGTTATTTGCAATAACGAATAAGAGACGATGTTCCAGGTCAGTCATCAAATAATTCAATGTAATGTTTGATTCAATGTAATGTTTGATTAAATAATTCAGTGTTTAAAACTGGCAAAAACTGCGACCTCAGCACACGACATGTCAACGCATGACCAATGATGTCTGCTACTATATTACGTTCCCATATCTGCTCTGCAGATAAAGTGGAAATAAATTGACGTCAAGATAACATCTTGAACCTTGTTTCCCCTCAAAGCAATAACCA